CATTTAATAGCGGAACCTCTAACGTATATTATAAACTTGACCTTAGAAACAGAGTTTTTTTGCAAATGAGATGAACAAAAAAACACCTCACAAAGCCTTTATACAAAAAAGGTGCCAAAAATGACATGAAAAATTGTAGACCTATTGCTCTATTATTAAATTTTTCAAAAATATTCGAAAAAGTCATATCAAATAGGTTAATATAATTTTTAGACAAATATAAGATTTTAAATGTAAATCAATTTGGGTTTCAAAAAGGGAAGAACACCACATTGGCTATATTCAAAGTTCTGAAAGATATTTGGAAAGATGTAGATCAAAAAAGGACTTGTGTTGGTTTCTTTTTGGATCTGTCAAAAGCTTTTGAATGTGTTGTTCATAATATATTGATAAAACAGCTTGAACCTATAGGCATACGTGGCATATCCCTAAATTAATGGAATCTTATTTAACTGACAGAATACAGGCGACAATATTAGATACATTTGACAAAAAAAAATAAAATCAATAACTCAAGTGCATTTCGATTTCAAAAAAATTAAGCCTAGGTGTACCGCAAGGTAGCATTCTAGGCCCACTGATGTTTTTGATTTACATAAACGAGCTTCCATTAATGATCAATCATCTATGTGTAATGTATGCTGATGATGCTACAATATTCTTATCAAGAGATAAACTAGATGATGCAAATTTTGTGAATGAAATTTATAATACACTAAACACAATAGTAAACTGGCTAACTTCAATTAATTTAAAAGTAAATTTGGGAAAAACAAAACTAATAGAATTTAGGAATTATAGAAAAGCTCCAATTGAATTAAATATTATAATCGACGGTGAAAAATTGACAAAGTGCATCACATGAGATTTCTGGGTGTCACCATTGATAGTAATTTGAACTGGAAATTACATGTTGAGAAAGTAAACAGTAGGATTTCAAGCAGTTGTTACGCCATATCAATATTGAAAAATGTAGCATCTAGAGATGTAGCAAAAATTATTACTATGGTCATGTCTATCCACTTCTGACATATGGAATTATATTCTGGGGCAATTCTGTTGACATTCAGTCCACATTTTGCAAAAAAAGTGCTTAAGGATTATGTATAATATTAATCAATATGACTCTTTAAGAAATGTATTTATAGATTGTAAATTTCTGACGTTGACTTGTATATACATACTAGAAATTTCTGTGTTTGTCAAAGATAACCAACAACATTTTAATATTAAAAAAGAATCAAAAAAGAACTTACGAACTCAATACGCTTTTGATGTGTGCATTGTTAAATCATCTAGTTACATTTATAGTAAAAGTACTTTAATAAGCGGAATCAGAATCTTTAACCATTTACTTATATACATTAAATCATTAGAGAGCCCAAGATTAAAAAAAAAGTTAAAAGAATGGTTATTATCAAAATGTTTTTATAATTTAGATGAATTTTTTGGACGTAATTATTGATTTATTGTAGTGCTTTATTTTATTTTTTTATTATATTGTACGTCCGAAATGGACAAGCTTTTGTAACTATACTCTGTATTTGTAAGACCTCACGTACACAGTTATGACAATAAATGATTGATCTTATCTTATCTTATATTATCTTATCTTATCTAGAAAGGTGGACCCTTTTGTAATGGTAGCGGTGAAAATGAATATAATATTTTGATAAGTCAAAGCTCCGAAGACATCAAGCATCTCAGGTGAAGTAAAATCCGAATAGTATTTAAAATACCGATGATAGTTGTGAAATTTATCATATAATTTAAATAAATATGAAAGCACCTATCGAGTAATGTCATGAACAGAAGGTGCGGTGGGTCTGACGGCAGCCCTAAAGTAGCAGACATTAATTTTATCCATGACGAATAATTAACTAAGTAAGAATTTCTTCTTTAGGAGATCAATTATTGTTTAACTAACCAATTACCTTCCAATCAGATAATTGTTTTATATAATATAAGGTATTTATAGCCTCAGATATTTAGGTGATTTTATCCCGAGGTGTGGTCAATTAAAATGGACGAGAGTTTTCGTTTACTTTGATCGATGAATAAATTGAATTGAAATTTAAAACAGAATATATTATATATAGCTTTCTTTATATATTTTGTTTTTTTATGTACATACAAAAAGGCTCAAGATTGTCTAAAATAGTGAATGTTAATTATATGTTACTACGAGTATAACCGTATAGTAGCCATGTAGTGGCGGCGTAAGAGAATCTAATAGGCAACAAAGAGAAATAAAACAGGAGAAGAATATCTTCCTCAAAATAACTCCAAATATTTAAAAATATGCGATTTCCAAACCGTCTGCAAAGCATAGCAAACAAGGAAAATGAGGCAATCTATAGCAGAGGCCTCTATCCATTAATGAACATTTCATAGCAATCAGTGTAGCGTTTGAATGCATTTTTAATGAATGGATAAATGAATGAATGAAAATTGCATTATAAAAATTATTTAGCGCTAACACAACATAAGCCTTTTCATAGGAACTTATCACTCACAAAACCAATTGAAAGCTCATCATCCCTTCCCTTACAAAGCCCTTATATTATACAGCCCTTCACAAGCCCACTGCTGAACATAGGCCTCCCCCAAGGAATGCCACAAAGCACGGACCTTCATATATAAAACATAAGTTGAGTTTTTCTAAGCGATCTACTTACTAATATGCTACACATATTGTGTGCCAACGTGTGGCTTTCATATCGACTTTAACTTTGGTAGTAAACGATAATCTTTCAGTAATGTATTTTTTATTATTCCACACAAATATTAAAAAAAGAAATATGGAAAAATTGATGACTCCTTTTACAAAAATTATTTTCCTCCATGAAGTAGGTATGAGTTATTATCCCACAAAAAATAAGACATCACGGGCAGGTCAGGTTAGCAACCTCCCTAACGGGTTGCCGCCTTGTCTTGGCGAGGGGGGCTTAATAGCCGTGGCTTGGTCACCCGCGGTGAACAAAGAGGAACCCAATTGGCTGTGTCAAAGTGTAGGGTCGGCCCGAGGTGGCCACTCTGAGTATGCTTGTCGAGCCCACTTCGGATGTGTGTCAGTGGCCTGTGGCTAGAGGGATGTCTTCTCCCCTACCGAGCCGAGGTGGAGTCACGGGGGAGGACGAGTGTTGGTATGGCGATCCGCCACTCGTCCTATCCTCCGCGACCCTGGCGAGGCGGTACCGTTGTTGCGGTGGTGGTGGAGTCGCGAGGGGAGAGGAATATCGGTATTGCGAGGCACCGCCCTCCCTGCCATCCGCGGCTGAAACTTTTTTTGCGGTGGAGCCTGAGACCAGATCTGCCGCTTGAGTCGGGAAAGCTAGTGCTTCCAAGCGCGAGCTGTTTACACCTGCTCGTGTTTTAACACCCCGAGTCCGATAGGCCATGTGGCCTCTGCGTATTGGACTGGGAGTGCTACTGCCGTTATTCAGGTGGTGTTGGAGACCGTGGGGGAAGGCGCGCTTTGTGTTCCTGGTGCGCCTTACCTGAGATAAGGAGTAGGGGCAGGAGAAGTTCTCGTCTGAAGGGAGAAAGTCTGAAGACTGGCAGTGGTGAGGTCACGGATGTGTGCGAAAGTGTTCCCGTGGCCCTGTCAATATGCCAGGCTAGAAAGTCAAAAGTAAGTTGTTATCCATAATCTTATGTTAAAAAAAATATTTTTCTATCTTTATTAATAAAGAAGTCGTACTTATTTAATGAAGGAAAAATAAAAATATTTCTTATTTGTCAGCAGGTGTTATTTGAAGTGACAGATATGAAATTACATTTCTGCCATTGCGAATATCTATTAACAGAATGTACTGTTCTTTGAAAAGAAATTTCTTTTTTAAGTTTTCTTATCTCCGAAGCATCGTACCTGTACTTAACCAGTCCATTACCGGTAGGAATCCCTACTACATGAAGTTTATAATATCATTACTAGAATCAGGTTACTTTCGGGAGATCTATTATAAGTATATATTATATACATTAAAAGTACTTAGCGGTCAGCCACCGCAGAGTCCATTTTACCTGAGAATGCCTAATTTAGAGGCGAAACACGTGTCGCGTCTTTTCTTAGTGGTGCTGGGGATAGTGAACGCTATTGAGGGAGGACCGGAAGTGCTCTTCAATCTAGGTAAGACTCATCATTTTACTTTATCGCGCGAATCTTAGCTAAATAACATTTAAAATTTTTAATATCGTGTAATATCATTACAACCACGCAAATGTGTCGTAGATGACATGGATATTTATCTGTAGGTATGTTTCTAAAACATCAATGGTCGTACAGCCAGTCATATGTGACGATTACAATCAATCATAATATCTACTATGGGGGAAAACCATGTCTGCTGGACATGGTTTTTATAGGTTAATGAGGACAGTTACAAATTTAGAAATGTTGCTTGTGTAGCCATGCTGCAGCTATATTATAGTTTTGGCACGAATGGGTCGGCTCGTCCGGGGAAGGACCACTCACTCACAGAATGCCATCGCAAAATAGCTGCTTAATGTCTTAATGTCAAATTCTTAATCGAGGATAGATAGATTTAGATGACTGTCTCAGCCACAGCATACACTTCAGGTGAACCGTGCGCTCATCTGTCATCGTTATTCTATTTTTAGTATCATAATGAAGCAAAAATCGAATTCGATCAGTATTAGCAGTTTGCAATAGAACTTCTACAGCCTAACAGTCTTATTCATAAAGATTCACTAAAATGGCGTTATAACAATGATTAGTTAAAATGCTCAATAGTACTGTTAAACCTATTATAAAATTCTCTATTCGTAAACGTTCAATAAACCTGTCATAGTTAAATCATATTTATGGAATACTTTAGTTTTATTAAGTTGTCATTCTGATGAATCCATAGACAAGCCACGGTAAAAAAAAGTTTGACAGCAATTGTGACATTTCCGTCAAAACAAGCTTGGTGTTTTCGTTAAATCAATTCAATAAATTGATTTGTTTTATATTCATATATAACACAATAAAAATAATGGAAAACATTACAGTAGCCAAACAAGTGAAAATTGGCTGGAGGAAGATAAGGTTAGTATGTGACTAAAGTAATTTCGTCATAGGTGCTTAGTGCACAAATGTTAGTTAACTGTGTTGTTATAATAGTATCCTTTTTCTTTCTATAGCATTTATTGATGGATTTTGTAAGGGAGCGTGTATCAGTAATTGAAAATAAAAATATTGATACAAATGCAAACTCAAAAAGCTAGCAGCATGGGCAGATTTATTATGCAGGTACCTATTTTTGTCTATCAATTTGTGAAGTGTTTGAAGATGAGTCTTCAACGCAATGATATTCTATATACGATCAGTTACATTATTATGCAACAGAAGCATGTTACTTCGTCTCTTGCTGGTCTAATGCATATAAGCTTTTAAAGTCATAACAGTGGGCAGTCCACATAGTTCATAGAACATAGGATTGGACGGGTTGATCTACTATGACAAAGCGCAAAAAAGTCCTCATGATCACTTGCATTGTGATTGGCCCATTTTGAATATTAAAATGTCAAATATTTGGATAAATTGTGATTATACTTTTTTCCAGTTTCAACAGTATGTGTAAAGGTGGCACTCGCACTCTTCCCCAAATAAAATCCCAATGGAGCATCATTAAAATGACAAAAAAGAAAATTAAGTCTGTCGAGCGAAAGAATCTTCGCCAGACTGGTGGTGGTCCACATCCAACTACGAACCCTAAAAATGGAGACGACATTTGTTCATGGCTCCCTAACGAATTTGTCATTGACACCAATGAATTTGATTCTGATGAAATAAATCAGGTATTACATACGTCAAGATTCTAAGTTAAAGGTCGCAAGCTTTATCTCTACCCAGTATAAACTTTAATGTTGCGTAATAAATATATTTGTTCCTTTTCTACCTAAATAGCATACCTACTAAAGTTTACTTAATGATATAGTTATCAAAAAAAAATCCATGCTTAAGTACATTATTAATTTAATTATTTATTGCACTGTTTGTAGATTGGGGAGCCATCGCAAAATGAAATCAAAGTGGATGGGATAAATAAACTTGTCAATGTTGAAAGCAAGTCTTCAGATAATGTGAGCATCCATAAAGAATTGAGATAGCTAGCAATTTTCATATTTTTCATACCTATTTTATTTTTATATTTTACTGTTGTAGGCAGTAGAAATACTTGAGGAGATCCAAACTACACGAGAGGTAAATATGTGAAATGTCATAAAACAAGTACTTACTAAACATGTGCCAAAGTGGGAATCGAACCCATAACTTGATTTGTAATCCTGGATTGTAAAGTTTAGGGATAAAAATAATAGTTGAATAAACAATGGTCTATTTAAACTTAAATTTTATTTCATGAAACAATTTATGTCAAAGTATATTTAAGATTACGTTAATGAAAACATGTTTCTTTTAACGGTTTCCTTTGCTGCAGGTTGTATCTATTGGCTCAGCACCAAAACCACTCTATACACCATCTAAGAAACCTGAAAGAAAGAATAAAAATGAGAAAAAGGTAAATATAATGACTTCTACTCTAATAGGGATTATGTTAATTTATGAAATTGTTTTTTTTTGAGGCGTGGGGGCGCAAGCGGCGAAAAGCCGCTTAGAAGTGTGCTTAACTAAGGCAGATAAGGGATGTCTTATGTAGGCTCGGCCTTTGCCGCCAGGAGGCAGTTCAGGTCAGCCGAAAGCTTGTTGGGGGGGGGGGGTCCAAGAGAGAGTTTCTCGGTCTGCGCACACTATAGCGAGTGTGGATAGGGGCTGCATAGGCAGCTGTCTCACGAATGAGATGATTTGGGTGGGACTCTGAGGCTTTGAAAAATCTCTCAGAGAGTGATTTAAGGAACTGCTGGATTATTGGGAGCTCTAAGTCTCGGTGTAGGTCGGCATTACGGACAGAATAGGGCGAGTTAGTGGCCCTACGACAGAATAGATTTTGAACTATTTGAAGTTCATTTATAACTTTGGGGTTGATTTTATTAAATACTCAAACATAACTATTTGTATTTCAGACCGCAGATCATGCAGAAAGTATAGCCAATACTGAAATCGAGTGCAGGAAAGAGGTCCATCAAGCCCAAATGGCAAATGAAGAAAGGAAAGCCCGAAACTTGGACCTCGATGAGACATTAATTAAATTAAAAATTGAATATTATAAAAAAAACTTCTAGTTCTTGAAAATAAATAATTTAAAATTAAAATGTGGAGCTTACTTACTCATACCCTTAATTAGCTAAAATGCCTATCGATAAATGCTCGTAGAAGAGCATTATTGGAGTCTCTTCCTCTGGCCTCACCAATTTGAGGTAGAAGTTCAGCATCTACAATTGTATTGAGTTCATCATGATCTGAAAATTATATTATTATTATTATGTAAAGAAATATTATATTCATGAATGACTAAAATTATTTGTGTGCAAATTACCTGGTACCGAATCCTGTTGTCCTATTGCAATATTGTGCAACACTGCAAGAGCCACAATTGTAGGTTTCACATTTTTCATGTGTACTGTCATGCCATACAACAGACTTTGAAACCGCTGCTTCCACACTCCAAAGCAACGTTCAACACAGTTCCGAGTGGCAATTTGTGCTCGATTATATTTTTCTTCACGCTCATTTTGTGGTCTTAGTATAGGTGTGAATAGATATGGCTCTAATCGGTAGCCTGAATCTCCTAAGAGTCTCCCTCTAAACTCTCTTCTTTCAAGGCGCTCTTTAAGAGTCGATTCGTTAAAGATACGGGAATCATGGGTACTGCCTCGCCATCTGGCAACGATGTCTTGAAACAGCTTCGCAAACCACCTGCATTAAAATTTTTAAAAATATGTGAGCACAGTTATGTATGTAGGTAAAATAAATACATAAATACATATATATACAATTTCACATATATATGTATATAAGTGATATACCACCTGGCAAAGAACTGCATTGTATTATTATATGAACTTACTTGTGTGAACATTCTTTCTCCTTTTCGGTTTATATAATACTGAGCTGCATCACCACCAGATTTCTTTATTTTTATGTGAGTACAATCAATGCAACCCAACACAGAAGGGAAATTTCTTATCTCTAAGAATTCCCTTACAACCCTTTGCTCTTCTGCCAGAGACTGCGGCATTTTTATGTACGTCTCAGAGTGACGAGCAATCGCGCGAGCTACTCTGGCACAAATGCGACTCACAGTTGGTTGTGTCAACCCATGAAGGTCTCCCCCATCATCTTGAACCTAAAACGGATAGGTACAAAACCGTTTACACACTCATATATGGTATTATTACTTGTATACTAGGAGTTGAGACTTACTTCACGACGTCCCCAACATCTAATGGCAGTTAACACCTGCAATTCTGGTGATGTACCACAACCCCTTGGGTCCAGTTGTAAATCCTCCCTTACAAGATCAATTATAAAAGATGCCGTATGTTTATTGAAGCGGTATCGCTTTTTGAACTCTACATCGGACAAAGAAAACGGATCATATCTCTTCTGGTAAGCCTTACGACGACGATGCGGAGCATTTCCTAGTTGCTCCATAGCTTCTAAAGCTTGCAGAGCTTGCATATCGACACTTTTTAGTAATCAAAATCCACAAAAAACAATTTCACCAACAATAACTTAAACGACTTAAACAAACAGCTGTTCGTTGCTCGCACGCAAGTCGGCCATATTTTTCTTTATTACAGGTTTATAGTAGGGTGGACCCTTCTATAACTTATGAAGCCGTTATAGAACACTTATAATGCGTTTTAAAGTTATTAAAGGTTTATGAATAATGTTTTACGGGTACCTCCTTATAACAAGCTAATAAACCTATTTTAACTTTTTATGAATAAGACTGTTAGGGTTCAAAGAAAGAAATTAAATTCTTCTCGTTATTTATTATTTCGTAAGTAAGACATTTTATCATTAAGAACAAGACTATTGATACAGCTTACTAATACGAGTAATATTAGATAGAAATAAAATGTGATTCTTGCGTCAGATTCATTTAATATAGTCTTATGTAATTAGTGAAATCGTATAGAGATATGATTTCGTTTTTGCGACGTAAGAGGCTTCACTAACCCGCATTAACCAGGGATGACGTATAAGGCGACCGCAGTAAATTGAAATAGATAGGCAGCAGCATCTTCCAGATAAGAACGCTATAATATTAAATGATTACTAATGAAGTTGCCCTTTGGTATGAGAAAATTGAATTTTTTAAACAACTTTATGTGACTTAAAATATTTGCCTAAAGTGTTGTAGACACATTCTTTTATGGACGGTTTACCCAAACCCTTCCTGTTGATATCCCTTGCCGTCTGCTGCATTAAAATTGATGAACTCTTCAAAGGCATTCTTTGTTGCTTCTTTGGAATCCAAATTTTTCTTATCAAAAAGTTATCTAAACATCGTAAAAAGTGGAAGTCAGTTGAGGCAAGGCTTAGCTCTACTCTTATTTTGCCAACTGTTGTTGTGTATAATGTGTGACTGAAAGTTGTCAAGAAGAAGAAATGACGAAGAGCAGTATAAACTGCTCTTCAATCAGATTTATTTTAGTGCCAGTTTCTCCACCATCATTTGCAGTTTTAGACAATAACGGTCCGCAGTTATCAACATTTATTTAGGTGACCTCGAGTTTCAGAGGTTCGAAATTTCCCGTACGAAATCCACTCCAAACCAATAACGCACATCAGCATCACATCGTTTGTTGGTAATGCTTTGTCCATATACCTCATCAATATTGCGTGCCGTTTGAAACACATTGTTTTTATGTCTGAAACCATCTCCGTCATTAAAAAGCTTAACGAAATTTACTTTTAGTAGCGATATTGCATAAACAAAACCGAAAGAACAAGTAAATACATTTTGTTTAAGTTAAACATTTCAATTAAAACTATTCAAAAATATGACGATTAAATAGGTAAAGGCCTTATAATAAAAATAAACTTTCTAACATTTATTAAAGCCTATCGAAGCATTGAGGTTTTAAGGCACAAATAGGGTGACAACAGATAATACATTCCACCTGACATTACGTGGATAATGTGGCTCATAGACATCTACATCTATCCTCGATTAAGAATCGAAATGCAGATGCGTTGTCAATCCTGATCACTAAGATAAAATACATCGTTTACAGTAAAAAGTGGCTCTTCTTCCCTTAACTCACCATGCTGTACACAGCAGCTGAAATAAACTGCTATTTTACGCTGGTATTCTGTGAGGACATAGTCTTTCTCAAAAATGCTTGCGAGTATCCAAATAATATCGAATATTTACATTAGTATACAAGGGACAAGGGAGTGCGTGCGGTGAATGCTGTGAAAACATGTTCAAAACTTGGACTGTAAAATTTTGTTTAAAAAATATGTTTCAATAAATTCATTTTCCGAAATGAGAGGAGGCCTGTGCCCAGCTGTGGGACGTATATATGTTTAGATTGTAACTTTTTAACTTTCACATTATTTAGCACCGAACTCAGAAGCGTAAATAGCTTCCGTGCTTTTAACACACAACGTTTTCATAACTTGACTTGTTATAAATCACAAAAAAATCAAGATTTAATATATCGACAACAATAAATAATTTTAATCTCTACAAAAAGCTTTTAGTTGACGACTTAGCAACTACTGTAGACACTATTACGTCACAGTGTCGCATCATTCGTCGATGCGCTCGGTGGTTTGATATGTAGATCGTATTAAATCGAGACAATGACGTCGACTGTCATTAAATGTAATAGTTGCGATATAGTTATTTATGAGGTTCTGGCGTTCATACAAAATCAAGTAGATGTAATGTGCGAAGGAAGCATTATTCGTCTATGTATAACAGCGTTTAATGCTGAGGATTTTGTGGCTGCTAAGGACTTACTGTATCAATCAGTGCGAACTAAAGAAAAGAAAAAAGTAAGGAAAGGTAAAGCGGAAGTAAAACACAACTGGACCTGAAAGACATTATCTCGCTCATTAAATGTACTGAAGCTGAGCATATACCTACTTTTGTGGCTAAGGAGCTTCGGAAACGGTTACGTTTGATCATATAGACGTCACAAGGTTATTAAAAGGTATAATTATTCTTAAGGATCAAGTACAAGAGCTAAGAGAACAGTGTGTGACGGCTAAAGAACTAAAGGTGCTAAAAATGGAAGTACGTAATCTACGACAAGCATCACTGATTAACGATATTGAACCCGAAAACTGTGTCAATACAAATAGAGGCGGTTTTCGTAACTTATTACAATATGAAAATTATGAGGGTAGCAGTGGACCATTTGGCATTTTGAATCTAGCGCAATGTAAAAAAAACTCCGGAGCGGGCACAAATATCTGATAATAATATGACCTCATTTACTCGGAATGAATCACAGTGCCATATAATAACTCATTCACCATCTCTGTCACCCGCAATACGGCCGTTCACACACGAGAATAACGAAGAATCGATGAATGGGACCAGTGAGCGAGATTGCGCGTCTAACACAGGTATGAAAAAGGCGTTGCGATTGTACCCTACGTCTTGTGTCCCCCCACCTATGACTCAGATAACAGGTACGCAGTTCCGTATATCGACGAACGCGGCAGTAATGATGAATCATAATGAGCGTAAATCATTTGCACAAGTAGCGAGAGCGGGCGGCGTTTTTAAATAACCTAAAGATGAAGAAAATTGGATTATGGCGCAGAGAAGAAATCATAGAAACCAATTTATATGTACGCAAGGACAATCACGAGACCTTTCTGGTAAGTTTAAGGCAGCGGACATAAAAATACCATTGTTTATAAACAACGTGGATAAAGGGGCATCGATACAAGATATAATTGACTATATAAATGTCAAAACAAACGTGGCTGTTCATTTAATTGAGATTAAAATGAAACGTCAGAAAGACTACAAAGCATATAAAATTTTTGTTCCAAAGAATAAGATAAATGTTTTTTTAGATGAGAACTTGTGGCCAGAAGGAATTTCTTTTCGTAAATTTATTGAGTTCAGGGCTAACAGGTCACAAAGCCCGAGTAAAAATACAGAGGCTGAAGCTTAAAATACATTAATAATATAATTAAGTAAAATAATAATAATAAAAAATAAAAATATAAATTTCTTCGCAACCTTCCGCCAAACAAATACAATGATGTGTCTTACCTGGATTGAAGATAATTGATAGAATCAGGCGTCACTTTGCGGAAATCCATTATAATAAAAAATAAAAATATAAATTTCTTCGCAACCTTCCGCCAAACAAAAACAATGATGTGTCTTACCTAGATTGAAGAGCACCTTCCGCCCTCCCTCAATTGCATGCACTAACTCCGTCACCACCAAAAATAATAATAATTTTAGAATAAATATATATAATTACCTATATTACACTTACAGTATAAAATTATAAATATCAATATCAATATTTATCATATGCATAGACGTATCGTATACGATCGACGTACGTAAGTACGACGATCAGAAAATAAATTAGTTAGTTACAACTGTAAATATGTCATGAGGTCAGTGGATGGGGTAACAGAGTTATGTAAGTCTGCACACGTGATTGCTTTGCAAGAGACTTGGCTTTTCCCCATGATGTCACATTTATTAGCACCATTGACGAAGATTATGAATTCACAAGCAAATCTGCAGTAGATACTTCGGCCGGTATTCTACGAGGACGTCCGTACGGCGGCGTCGCGATAATGTGGAAGAAAGGGTTATTTTCGTCTGTGGAAGTCGTCCCATGTAACAGTGTGAGGCTTGCTGCGATCAAATTGAGTATAGCAGATCGATGTTCATTAGTATTTTCTGTGTATATACCGGTAGATAATTTGGATAATTTGAGTGAATTTACGGAGGTTTTAAGCGAAATTAATTCCGTAATCGAAAGTAGTGAAATAGAATCTATTTTCATTCTCGGTGATTTTAACGCTCCTCCGAAAGAACAGTTTTTTACTGAACTAATGAATTTCTGTGAAGAGCGAAGTTGGCTCCGTGCTGATGTGATCAAGTTGGGATTGTCTTCTAATACTCACACTTATGTTAGTTTTTTTTTTTTTTTTGTTAGCTTGAAGCGCATAAATGTACGCGATGGCTTGATCATTGTCTCCCTACTGAGGCAGCTTGGCAACGTGTAAATAAAGTAAAGGTTAATTATGACGTATACTGGTCGGGTCATCTACCAGTAGAAGTGTATTGTGAGCTAGCTAGGTTGCCTCCTAAAATGAAAATGATATGTAATACTATAATATAAACTCTTGTAATGTGATAAGATGGGGGGAAAGGAACAGCGAACAAATAAATTATTATCACGATATTTGTAACAGAAAATTAAAAACTATCGATCTCCCTGAGGTATTTAGATGTTGCGCTGATCAAATATGTAGTAATGTGGATCATAAAGCACATATTGATATTTTTATAGCTCCATTATTAACGTATTAAAGGAAGCTGCAGTAGATAGTTATAAAGTACGTTGTATTAAAAGAAAAAATATAGCGGGGTGGAACAGGCATGTAAGGGAGATACATAATGAAGCTCGACTCGACTCGACAGATGTGGATCCTACACAGTAAACCTACATCTG